AGGTATAATTCGAAAGGTATTCGACAGATGGCGCCATTATTTAGTTCTTTTACCTTACCTATTTTAAAGAAGTGTGTTTAAAATTCAACAGATGGCGCCAGCATCTTATTTTTACTTTACCTTACCTATTTTAAAGAAGTGTGTGTAGAATTCAATAGATGGCGCCAGCATCTCATTCTTTACCTTACCTATTTTAAAGAAGTGTGTTTAGAATTCAACAGATGGCGCTAACATCTTATTCTTACCTTACCTATTTTAAAGAAGTGCGTTTAGAATTCAACAGATGGCGCTAACATCTTATTCTTACTTTACCTTACCCATTTTAAAGTGTGTTTAGAATTCAACAGATGGCGCTAACATCTTATTCTTACCTTACCCTACTCATTTTAAAAAGATACGTTTCGCAGTAGACAGATGGCGCTAATGTTTAATTCTTTTTTAAAGAAATGTGCTTGTCACTCAACAGATGGCGATAGTAGTCAATTACTACTATTTCTATCCTTCTCTTATTATTTGCTATCCTTTCTTTTTATGTTTCATTTACGGCACTCTGCAGATGGCGCTGATTCCCTAATTTTTACTCTATATCTGTCCTTCTCTCATATTATCTCTCCTTGTCTAGAACGTTCTTAAAAATTAATGGGCTTAAAACGATACAAAATTATTAACGTTTCCTTATGTTACAAGGAATCTATACATTTTTATTTACATTTTATATGTATTTTAATACTTTTATATAATATTTTAGGAGACATATTTCTGTATTCTTATATATTGAATATAAATGTATATTGCTATCAAAATTTTTTTATGTTCTATCAAATTATAATTCGACAAAAAATGGCACGCGAAAACTTTTTAATAATGCCGAAGCAGAAATTTTATTCAAATCTTTTATTAGAAGAATATAAATTGGATAAAAATTAATTTTTTATCAATTCTCTTAATTCTAAAGATACTTAACTTTTGTATACTTACTTTATACATGAAGAGTCTTCTTTTTCTGATACTGAACATTTCTCTATAATTTTTTGAAGATTTAAGAATTAGTTCACATAATTTTATATCTTTCCAAATATAATTTCTCGCTCGTTTTTCATGATATTAAAAAAATATTTAGAATAAAAGTTGATCGGTTTCAACAAGCTTATATCTTGATATTATATAATGTTTTCGGAAACGTGTGAAACATTTATGAAATCTAAACTTCATTTTTTTTAAAATGGAATTATATACTTTTTAATGCATGAATATACATATATTCGACATTCTTTGTAAAAAATTAACAAACCATGAATATCAAAAAATTATTAGTTTAAAAAATAATTCAATATTATTAAATATTTCTAAACTAATAATCTTTTGTCGTAAATGGTTCAATATTTTATTTTTATAAAAAAAAAAATAATAATTTGATACATCCTCTACATATTCTACTAGGGAAATATAAATAATATCAGAACATTTCTCTTGAAACCATTCAATTTTTATTTTTCGCTGCGGAAAATAGCGACGATAAATTAAAAAAGTAATATTAGACGAGACATCCTATATATAAAATATCTATAGAAATGCATAGCAAATCGCGAAATTGATATTTCAGAACAGAACACGAAATTCCATAGAATCTCGTCTCTGTGTCAAATTTTAAATAATTAATTCCTTAACAAAGAGCTTTCTTTTTAAGTTTAAAAAATGCGGTAAAAAAAAATATAAACCGCAATTAGTATCGAGATGTATTCAGGACAATTTTAAAAAGGGATAATTTGTACGAATAACATAAAACAGTTGTACAAATCGAACCGATATTATTTTTGAGCGTTTTATTAAGTTTACTATGATTTTAATCGATACAATGATTTCTGTGGTATACTGTTGTATACATCGAGACGCGACTTCAACTTTCTTTCCAATCTTTTACAGTATATAAAATATTCAATCATATTTATTATATATTTTTTTATTTTTCTTTTTTTTAAATACAGAAGAAACAAAACAGAAGAAATTAAGAAATGGAAGAATCAATAATTAATCGAAAAAGAGTTACACGTTAAGTTAACGCCTTTAAAAATCGAACGTTCCATGGTTAGAAAAAAATTAAAAAA